GAGTTCGGGCCCACAATAAGACAGAAGGCCTTCAGCCGCAGGAAGGCTGAGGTAATCTCCTCCCCAAGAAGGGCAACCACCCGTTGTAGCGGCAGCAGCCGGCGAAGAAGAAACAAACGAACAAGATCCACCAGGTCTTGCGACACATCCCCAGTGCGCACGCGTGCCTGCAAGAACGTCCAAAATTTGTTCTGTTGCTTCTGCTGTGTATCCCTGTGCCTGCAGAGCATTCGCCAGCGATTCTCCTCTGTTGGAGACGAAATGCAGCATGGAAGGCAGTCCGGCGGCCTGGGAAGGCGGGGCAACAGAGCAACCGGCAAGGCAAAAGCTTGCAATTTTGGGCAGTCCTTGGGAAGGCTCTCTTGCGTGTAGCCGACACCCTGTAACCTCTCCTTCAGCTCCGCTGACACCTCATTTGCACCCACGCATGCCGGCCGCTGAGGCCGGGCAGACCGCGAGACTCGACACGACTACGTAATGCCTCATCCAGAACCCGGGAATCCAACACCCGACTCTCCGATCAAGCGGCAGATGTCACCTCCTTCCAAGAGATTCGCGGACCCATTCCTGGCCAGGTCTTCATGCACGTGGACTTGCAAGTAGCATCCACAACTAATTTCTGTCACCATTTGCATGCTCTCTCACTGCGCCAGAGGTGCCAAGCACATCCTCCGCGCGACTGCCGAGCGCAATCGCACAGTCTCGAGCGAGCGACTTGGCAGCCTGGGACTCTGGCGAAAGCTGGAGACCTGCTGGCATGGATGATGTGCACCACGCACTTACAAAAACACATCGCAGCTCCAAACCTCCTCTGATATCTTTGGTCACCAAGGTGCACTCTGCAAGCTTCGCGTGTGCTTCCCGAAACTGTAGCAGGCGAACGTGTAAAGCGGCTGCTTCGCCCAGCACACCTTGCACACCATCCCCCTCTCCCCTCATCTGCCCCGTTCTTGTGTAAGATTAAGATGCTGTTTTTGCCGTGACGCCTGCCAGGAGTGCCTCGTGGCGTCTATCCTCGGCATCCTCACAGAGAGCGCGAAGGCTTGAGATCTCCTCAACGGGCCAACAATATGCTCACAATATGCCACACAATACAGTGGCGACAACTGGTTCGTCGTCTGCGTGTAGAAGCTTTGTCGTTTGACCCAAGTCACCCAAGTGCACGCTGCCAGTCTTGCACGCAGAGCCGCTAGCGAGACCTGGTGCTGTCACGGACTTCTCATTGGAGTGCCTCAACCCCCGCGCAGGCCTTGCTGTGGGAACGCAAAGCCTGGTTGGAGCTCGTTGGCACCTTGTGCTGCAACTTTGAAGTCAACATAGGGCCAGGCTCGCCCGGTAACGCGTAGAAAGCCGAATCCTGATATGCACCTGAACGAGCGCCACGGTCTCAGGATTTCCATCTGGAAAGCCTTCGAGCTTCCATGCACCAGGAAATGATTGTTGCACTGTGCAGGCTGAATGGGTTGCCATGTCCAGCTCCTGCCAGACAGGCTCGCAAGGCGCGCAGCTCGGCCAGAAGCGCCCGAGCCTCCTCACCTCCGAGCGACACAGCACAAGCAAACGCAAACTCTGAAAGAGTGCCAAATACGTCGGGGCGGAAATGGTTGAGCGAACTCTGTGAAAGGTTTTCTGTCGCACGAGGCAGATGTGTGATTCCGATGACGGAGGGGCAGGTGCAGAGATTTCTGTGACGGTTCGGGTTCGAGCCTGGAGGGGTTGTTGTGCTCCAGCTGCGGAGATCTCAAGACACACCGAGGCATCAGGACGACGGCTGTCTTGCGAAAGCAAGGGATGATGCACTTTAGACTGATTCCTGGGTCTTAGGCAGATGCACGTATGTACATGCACGGTTGTAGACTTTATAGACCCAGGCGGTGCTGAAAGATCTACATCTAGATTTTTATTTACACTTACATAATTCTGACAAATATGTGTGCACGTATATGTTTCGTTAATCATCGGTATGTATGGAGGGGAATGCATGTGTTCCATCCGTCATTTAGTACGAACAAACACACAGACAACACACCAACACAATAAACACACACAGCCACAGAGACGAAGACAAACATTCAAGCATATCATAGCATGTCTATCTACCTTATTGCCCACCACAGAATATCAAATGAAGAATACGTTTGGCACCTTGGCCCGGGCTCAGCCACGCGAAGGACACACAGAGCCGCTGCAAGGATTCTGCACAGCCTGCCAGCAAAACCCGGCTGGGTTTCCGAAGATACTGAGCCCAGATACAGGGTACCTGAGTTGCTTCTACACTTCTCACGAGTGCAACTCGCACCTGTTAAGACTAAGACTCTTCTCCGGTCTTTCGCAACCCCACCGCAAAATGGGTCTCGCCTCTTGTTAAGCTGACTTCTGTAAGCTTCGCTATCCCAAAGCGGCACGCAGAGGCAAAGACAACAGTCTTAACATGAACCATTTAATAACTCATAGCTTGCTCAGGGGAGGATTGCTTCTGGGTGCGGACGTGCCTTTCAGCCATCCGTGTCTGTTATCAACTAGGGCCCACCCTCGCTTCAGAATGTGCTCTGGCAGCAGGACCTGCCTTCCATGCGATGCCAGACTGGCATAGTCGCACGTGGAGGACGATGGAGCCTTCAACGAGGCCTAGAACTCATGACAACGAACTTTGCCCGGAAGACCATGGAGGCCTCCAGTGCACTCTGGCCAAGCCCCAGGAGCCACTTCTCCTCACAAGGAGCGAAATTCATGTATGGCCTTGCTCTAGCCGCTACTCGAGGAGACCGTTTCATGGACCCCTTAGAATACGTTGCGAGTGGCAGCTGCCGTTGTATCTGAACCCGGAAATGCCTCTGAGCCCATGCCAGCCGCCGTCACTCGCAGACTCGCAGCGCCTCCTCGATCAAGGCCCGGGCACGCTGCCGGCGTTGTCGGCTGACCGCTGTCGCCGCCTCTGGTACCTTCTGCGTTGGGGGGGCCGGGGGCCTTGATGCGTTTCCGTGAAAAAAGTCAGCCTTATAGTGTAATCTGACAAAAAGATTTTGCAGCTTGCCATATCAACGAAGCCAAGACTTCTCCATGATGCATGTCACAAGCAAAAGGGATCAAACCCGATACATGCTGCACCCGATCCTACGTCAGCAACTCTTTGCGTTCAAGAATGTGCATTAGAAGTGTCTCTGCAGCTGTCGCTGGAATCCTTGGGGACCGGAATCCTTACTTGATCGCTTCTAAAGTCTTGGTGCGACGTTGCGAGGCGTTTGTGAGCAAGCTCTCTGCGAAAGCTGTGATCGAGCTGTGAATGCTGAAACACTTTGAAGTCCGTGGGAATGCTTCCAAGAAATCTGTGCCGAGTCGGCGTGCACCGTCTGTGATGAAGCGGGCAGCGGCAGCTCGGAAAACACTGAGGCGAGGAGGTCAGGTCAGCCCTGGATCTTTCGCGGCCCAGGACAGTCCAGGCACCAAAAACCCACCCCGCCCCAGCCGACCTCGCACTTCCCCACAGCTTCCAATAAAAATGCCGGACAAGTGCTTCACCATTTTCTCCTGTCCTCTCAAGCCCAAGCCACAATTTCCAAACAAGCCCCTGCTCACAGAATTCTCAAAGACACCTTGCCCTCTGCACATGCAGGGGACATCGCAGGTTGCAGCAAAGGCACTTTGGGGCGCGTGGCTGCAGCAAGGTACTCCTTGTTGATGGAGAGGAGGGCATGGCTTAGCCTGGGTTCCATAGACTCACATCGGAGCCATGCCATGCTGGATGCGTCAAGGTGCACATTCATTGCAGCTTGCTCGGCGATCTCCTCGCTCTCTTTGTCCAGCGCCAACTACCGGACTCTCTCTCTCCCGCGCGATCAGACAGGCACAGACATCCGCTCAGCAGCATTCGCCACACTCCGGACCCCCGAACTGAAGCTTGGCAACCCACTTCGCAGGAGATGCACGGTACTCAACAAGGATGCCCCCAAGCCCGCAGTTTTCTAACATACAAAAGCAAAGGCGAGTGAAAGGAGTTAAATGAGCTACCACAAACATTACTGGGTTACTACTAAATGAAAAGTATGCGTTATCGCTGTTGGAGGCGCATTATCGTTCGCAACCACCTGTTCTTGCAAACCTATCGTTCTGCAGGAAAAGAACGAAAGAGGAGTAGTAGCAGCAGTAGTAGTAGTAGTAGTAGTTGTAGGCACCCCCCCCCACCTACCAACCACCTCTGCTACAAACCCTCTTAACAGCACATCCGTTTTACTCGGCATTTACGGTACGTTCGTCGTGTCATACCACTTCTTCTTGCCTCAAATCCACTCCTGGATTTTGGAAAAAGGGGCTTCGGATTTGGGTGCGGGATGGTGTGGGGGGGTTGGGCGGGTGGGGGGCATGATGACGACATTGTTACACAGACACACCGAACAAAATCTCCACAAGAGCCGTTTTACTCAGTATTTACAGTGCTTTCTTTCGTGATGTCGGAGCCGTTTATATGTTCACCAAACGTACTTCGCACTTTGCGAGTTCGACTTTGGGATCTCGGGGCTGTCGGCGAAAACTCGAAATTGGGTGGGGGGGAAGCTTTTCGGGGGACGATCACGACACTGTTTCGCGCACACCCGAACAATATCTCTGCACCTAGCGCGCACGCGCCACGCAGTACTTCAAAAGCAAACCCTCCTACGCCGAGGTCCGGGCTTTAGGGGTGTTGACGAGCTCCTGCCACGTACAGCTGGCATCCTTTCTTTTGACTCCTATAAGCTGGTGCGCTTCAGGTTTTAGGAAATTTTAGGAGTGTTAAAACCTTCTTGACGGCACCTGCGTTTTGCACGGTATTTACAGCGTTTTCGTACTATCCGACCTGTGCTTTAGCAGTTTCTTTCCCGTCGAATTTGCAACTCCAACTGCTGTCACAGTTTTGGGGCCTGAGCCTCTGCAACTTCACCGACTGTGACAGTTAAGGCAAGTGAGCATCTGCAACTTCTGCAGCTGTCACAGACAGGGAGCCTGAACCCTTGCATCTTCTGCAGCTGCCGCAGTTAGGGAGCCTAGAAGCTGCCACTGCCCAGCCCGGATGGCGCCAGTGGTTGGTAGTGGGGGTGGCTAGTAGTAGTAGTAGTAGTAGTAGTAGTAGTAGTAGTTGTTGTTGTTGTTGTACTAGTAGTAGAAGTAGTAGAAGTAGCAGCCGCAGCAGCAGCAGCAGCAGCAGCAGCAGGAGGAGGAGGAGTAGTAGTAGTAGGGCTGGGAGGCTTCCGGGCACCTGAAATCGTTTGAGGTATCCATCTGGAACGGTATACAAAATGCTATTTCGAGCCGCTCGGACCTGCAATTCCAAGTGAACCCTCTCGACCGATACAGAGACACAGAGAGAGAGAGAGAGAGAATGTGTATGTGTAAAACCCAACACCACACGAAACCTTACAAGCCTCCACAACGCCTCAACGCCTGTCCACGAGTAGAGCTTGAACCCGAAGCTTAGCGAGCACATCTGACACCCACAGCACAAGTGACGGTATCGCATTTGGGGCGGGCCTATCGATTTACCATGCGAATGGAACATGTGATTCGTTTTATCTCTGCAAAGTATGGCCTCCGACATGATAACAAAAGTCGCTCAAATAAGTACAGGAGCACATGGTACCAGTCAGCACATGGTACCAGTCACAAGGCCCGTGACAGACCCGACCTTGAGCAATTCCATGACAGCCGCGGCTGGCAGGGGATCCTGCTCCGAGATCCTTGCCGGGGATGAAATTGGTGAAATTTGTCTTGGCTTCGGAACCGCCAAGATTCACTTCGAACAGAAAGCAGCACTTGAGCCTCACGTTGAGCTGCAGCGAGCTCTCCACAAGCACCGCAGGCTGCCACTCCTCCACGGCCTGTGTGGGAGATCCCCTCGAGACAAAATCCAGACTGCCCCCGCTTCGCCTCTGCAGGCAGAAATTGTCCCGGTTGCAAGCCGTCCGGCGCAAGCTCAGCGACCTGGCGATGCGATGCGACCCGCTGAAGCCCGTGGCAAGCAAAGCTACAACGACAGGCCTTCTTGCTGACCTTGTCGGACAAGTTCGGTGGGACAGGAACGGTAAGTGCCTCATGCAAAGGCTGCTCTTTGATTGCTGGTCTCCAACGCTTGCTTTCCAGGTCCCAGCAGCGAACTCGAAGTGGCTGGCCGGGCTGCGAGGTGCGAAGCGGCCGCGCTCAAAAAGCGCCCTCCCAGCACAGCAAGCCAAGCCTGCGGCATCTGTGTCTCCCGGCCACTGCACAGCTCATTCCTTCGCAATACATGCGTGGCGATTAGGTTGACAGATTTGCGATGTGTTGACCTCCTCGCATGCAAAATTCCAGCCAGTGGTTCACGGGGCCGCAACACAACACAGTAAACCGCAGCTACGGGAGATGTGATATGCATAGAAAAAGACACTATGCAGCAACCCTCCCGTCTGCTGCATCGAGCGTACAGAAACAAAGCAAGAACAACCAGTGCGGCTTGCGACCACTCCAGCCCTGATTGTACCGACTGCACGACAAAAGAAAACTGCTCTGGCGCAGAACCCAAAACCGGGGTGCCCCATCTTATCAGTTAGTCAAGAAGGCCCTACGCTACCAGTACGAGATGAGAGCCTCCATGACAAAGCTGCACAAGTTCCTCGGCTGCACGGAAGGGAGCGGCCTAGCGGCCTAGACCTGAGCATACCCCATTGAGATGCAAGCGTCTCCCTCTTCAAAGATTCGAGACGCGTAAAACACCAGCATCGACTCCTCACGCCAGGGGACAGCTCACAAAGCTTGTGCCGCTACGCACACAGTCCCGTCCGACCCGTCCTGGCCAGCGGATTCCAAGCGAGCGAGCCCTGGTGCCTCCAGCGTGGCGGCGCCCAAAGACTCTGCCTCCTTGGAGGACACCGTTCGGGCCTAAACCAACCTGAGAATCACCTGCTGTGCGCATTGGCCCGCCCATGCTGACTTTCATTTCTAGTTCGCAATGGCCACGAAGGCTAAGGACATGCAATGCCATGCACATCCGTATTCAAGCTCGGGCATCCAGCACCGCAAGCTCTGGCATGAAGATCTCAACAGCGGTCCCATCGGACCGTACAAAACGAAGCAAGTACTGCAGCAGGATCGCCTCCACGGGGCATCCAAGGCTCCCTTAATGCACTGCCCGCGACCTGCGCGCCTGCGCCCAAAGATATCGCTCAGGCGAGGCCCCAAGTTCTGCAGCACCCTCCTCACCGAGGAAATCGCACAAGGCAGCGAACTCCTGAAAGGATCCAGGTAGCTTGCAACCGCACATCTCACCAAACCATCTTTGTCCGGAATGGTCGGCATCTCACTAGCCGTCACTAGCATGCAGCCACAGACACCTCCAGGATCTCCTCCCGGCCTCCCGCAGCACATCAAATTCTTCCGATGCTGGGAATTGGTGCATCACTGGGCTGGAGGAGAGTGGTGTATTTGGGCAACTCGCGCCCCTGATTGTGTAGTGGCGTAGTGTGCCTGAAGGCGCCGAAGCGCGGGTGGCGGGGGGGACAGCCAGAATCTCCTTCAAGCCCTGGAGCTCCAAACCCGAACACCCAGAACCATAGAGGCTGAAGCTCAGGCTTGCGTTGGTTCCGAACCCGCGAGAAAGTCGGCATGCGAGATCATGGCCGAGAGCATCACTGACACCACTGCAACATGCCAGCCGAACCTTAAATCCCACTGCATGGCACTGCACTGGCTTCCGTGGCCAGGTTACAAGCGCTGCTGTCAAAATCTGTTGGAGAACAGAATCCTAAGTCCACCTTGCTTCGCAATGTCCAGCCATCGGCTGCCTTGCAGGTGCAGCAGATCCTCGTCGTCCCACAGGAGCAGTCCTGCGAGTAGCACTAGCACAGCCCTACCCCCCTTCTGGCTACTGGGTTCGAGTCTAGCCTCCAGACAGCCCTAACGCCTAAACCCTGAACCCCAAGTATTCCCAAATCTTGCATTTACCTGCATGTTTGTGTCACAGGGTGCTTCAGAAGCAGGAGGACGGTCTGCCAAACTACGTACGACGTACACAGCAACCATCGGTCGGTAAACTCAGGAAGACACAGCGCACGCCGCCGTAAAGGCCTGCACTCAATTGCAACGTGCCAAACCGAAAGAACATGAAGAGCATGCGGGATGTAGCCTTTACAGACCAGGACAAATCACATCACATCACAAAGCCTCAAACAGACCATTCTCCCTCAAAGCACTTTGCACTTTGCCCGTTCTACTTTGAGACTACAGTCCTATAAGGACATGGGTGCACAATCTAACTCATTAGTGATATGTATATATATATATATAAGGATATATATGACTGTGTCGTGAAGAATTTCGCTCTGGCGAATCAGCGACATCACACCAAGCGTTTGCTAAGGAAAGTATGACCGACTGAAACATTTCAGTTCGTCCCAATGCTTCGGGGTCTGCCAGGCTTTTCGGCTTTGCGAAGTTGAAACACGCCCCGAAACGACTGGCGGAGGGCAAACGCTGGATCTCATAGCCAAATTCGCCTCGGCCCCGGCCAGCAGTCAGAGTTTCCCTCAATGCCCCCCCTTATCCTGGCCAACCTGAACCCCCGACGCTGGACCTCTACAGGTCCCAAGGTCAGGTGCAAAAGCTTCATGTTCTCGAATGGAATTCTGTTGTTTGTGGCCGGCCTCTCCCTTGCCCGTCTCACCTCCTCCTCTTGCATTCTCCTCCTCCTGCCGCCTCTGCTCCGTCAATGACGCCGAAAAGAAACAGCTGAGCAATTCGTCGGCCCTCTCTAATTGTGACCCGGCCGAGGCGGACGACGCGAAGCGTTTACAATTAACTACTTCACCGATGCGAACACCTTCATCACACATGCAGACTTGCTAAAGCATTTGCCGGTAGCATGTCGTTCCCAGCCGAATGTGTAATACATTCACCCACTGCTCCGGAACCTTATAACAGAGGTTGATTCTTGTCTTGCGTGCTTTCTTCCTTGCTTCCCTCCTGCGACACTTGCACCACCTGCACACGCGCGGACATGTCTCGCCATCCCATCCCAATGCTCCCAGGACTCAGGAGATCCTTCGGATGCCTCTCGAAGAAGTGCCATCTGTGAGGTGTAGGGCTCCCCTAGGCGCCCGTCGTGCGCAAGCAAGATGTGAAAAGCCATCCAGATGGAGTCCGATGCATCCTGGTCCTGAAGAAGGAGGAGTGCCCGCATGCACTGGCAATGGCGAGCCAGCCTAACTAACCACAGGCAGCGCCTGCTGTCATATGATCCAGGCAAGCATCCAGAAGCCTCTGCAACACCTGACATTTTCTGGCGGCACTCGGAGTCCAACATGTCCTGCAACGAGTTGCTTTTTGAAACACCCCAAAATCTCATCAGGAAGCCAACCCGATTCTTTAAAGCACTGGAGGACGGGAGATGTTTTGCCTCTCCGGGAGTGCCAGGATCGGTTCGCCGGCCACGAGGCGCCTCGAAGCCCGGAAGCGGCCGCCTGAGAAGGCCTGGGTTTGGGCGAGGGCCTTGTGGGTAGGGTTTGGGGTTTTGGACTTTTTCACACTCACACTGGGACAAGCCTGGCAAGGGCTTCGACTTTCGGCTCTCACACTCGGACAATGCAGGCGAGGCTTGTGGTTTAGGGTTTAGGGCTTTAGGTTTTTAGGGGTTCGGGTTTCGCGCTCACACTGGGACACTCCAGGCGAGGCATGTGGCTCGAGGTCTGCACTGAAACACTCATCAACATGAAGACCCACAAAACAAAGACCTTAGAGTGCAACCCCTAAAGGGAAAGGATCTTCCTCTTGTTCCAGTCCAGTCCGGATCATGGGTTTAGACTCTCGCAACTCGAACAATGCAGGCCGGATTGGTCCATGGTTCGGGCATTTAAGGTTTAGGGTTTAGGGTTCCCGCTTCCTTGGCACCCCAACCGGAGCCAAGCTGCGGTGTGATTCAACAAGGCTCCTTCAAAGGACACCATGGCAGATTGAGATCGCAGATTCTGTCTCAGTCTAGTGAAACAGAGGGGACACGTGAACTAGGTAAGCCTGGGCCAACGAGGCCTTTCCATCTCTAGCGCCCGGTGCAGCGGAAATGTGAGAACTGCCATGGCAGCCTACCACACCATGCGGGAAGATATCGTTGCAGTTTCAGATCATGCGATGGGCAGACGAATCAGAGAGCCGCTTGTAGCGCCCCTTCTTACACAGGCTTGATCGGAGCTCACCCGGCCAGGTTCCCAGCACATGGCACTCTTGCTGTCCCTTTTGCATCCTAAGGCCAAGACGTGTTGGCCAGGCCCTGTGGGCCAAACCTGACAAGACACGAGGGATCATCTTGCGAAGGCGAAGGCGATGGCCCCTGCAGCTCTAATCACCAAGCAGCTCGTGGATCTTCAGGATGCTTTGCTCCTCGGACTGTGGCTCTAATGTAAGTTTTCAATACAGGCTCCCACTGCAGCTGGGAGTCTATGAAAGCGCCCATCTTTTCAGTAAGCCTGGACTGCGCAAGACACACATAGCTGGCTGGCAGAACTTGCATCGCGCACATATTTTGCTAAGCTGCGTGTAGCTCAGCGTTGCGATGGCCCAGACTGCGTTCGCCAGATTTTGCCTCAAACGGTTGCAAGCCGTTGTGCGGGAGTGGCCCCCGCATTTCTGTAACTCCGCTGGGAGTCACGCGCGTTGAACTCTTCAACACGACGCATGGACGCGCCACACCTCGCAAGCCCACAAAGGCAGACTCGGGACGGCTGCTCTTTCCAACAGGTGCACCCACTCGCCAGCCGCACCCATGATCTGGAAATCACAGTCACTGTCATGTATATACAGCAGCATCAGCACACAAGATCCTAAGCTGCGAGCAGGCTGTCGACAAGCTTCTCGGATTTGTTCAGCAGCTTGGCGTTCGCCCAGAGGATGTTCCTGGTACGACACGGCACAAGACTGAGAGCACACGGCAACAAACTCGTCCGGCTGCGAATGCAGATCATTTGGACCCCAGAAAAGTCCACCGTAGCGAGGGCGCTGCTCAACACGCCGCTGCAGAAGAGTCATCACTGCAGCGAAGGGGTTGCAGTTCTCCTTCTCTGAGTAATAATTAAACCAACAGGAATGTTCGTCGACGCCCTCCTTCAGCCGGACCAGCTCCAGCGTCGGGATTGATCTCAGGTACCCGTACAACTCGTTTATCTTTTCAGCTGGCCACTTTATGGAAAACTCGGGCCATTCTAGCAATTCTTGAAAGGGAACTTCCAAATCATCAGACAGGATAACGGGAATGCACCCAGCCAGCAGGGCCACGAAGAGGTGGATGGTCCATGGCGTGATGCCTCTGGGCGCCAGGCAGAACAGGGAGCGCCCCATGAGCACATGGTATTCTTCGATGAAACCGCCAACGCTGACTCCGGAAAGGCCGGCGAGCTCCTCCATGATACGTGTGCGGACCGACACATTTGCATAGCTCTGCGTGTTTCCGGCATGACGGCCGTGGAAGCAGAGGAGGACATCCCTGTCTTCAAGGGGTCGGTTCTTGCTTAGGAGCTCCCTTGCCCTCCAAAGGTCCACGTGGCCAGGGATGACAATGTCCTTCCAGCGGACGAAGGATGGCTCGGGCTTCTCGAAATTGAGGTCCTCGCACTGGTTTTCCACTTGCAGGAGGATGGCCGAGCGGAGACCCACGCGCCAGCCAGGGATGCGGCACGGGTGGCGACCCCAACTGAAGAGAAACACGTGATCCGCGCCGTCCTTGCGATCGAACCATGGGCCGAAACTTCGAAGATGATGGAGCACGTTTTGAAACAGCAAATCAGCCTCGGCGTCGTCCGAGTCGAAAGCATCGAAATAGTTGAGGACTTCAATGCATTTGAAATAGGACGGCACGAAGAAGATCTCGGCATCGTGAGGGTCATCCGTCCGACAAGAAGAGGCCTCTTCTTGAAATCTCTTGTGAAACAAGAGCTCCGTCCCGTACATGCCGAACAGGCATTGCAGGGGCTTGGACATCATCGCGGGCAGGTACCCAGCCGGGCCGGAATGCAGAAGCTCGGCTGGCGCAAGGCCCAAAGCATCCGGCGCCGGATAAACGAAGACTTTCGGACCTGTGCACGGTACTGTCTTATCCTTGCCACCAGGACCCAGCACAGCTTGATATAGTTGGAAGGTGCTGATAAGTCTCTCCACTTCCCAGCCTTCCTGCGAAGCCTTCGCCTTTGCAGCTTCCATCTCGTCTTGGGGGATGCTTTCCAGTATCTCCCCGCTCAATTTCAGGACATCTCTCGCTTCGTGTCGGCCTCCTTCATAGTCGATGGCCGGGAGCGCTTGGAGGAAAACTGTCAAGACGCCGAAGAGGCAGTCACTGGCCACGGCTGCAAAGAGCTCCGTGCTCTGCATGAAGATCCGTGTCCACTTGGCGAAGAATCGGGCGTCCTCCAAGGAAGCGCCCGAGTCGATGTGAAGGCTGGACCAGTTGAGGACATAGTCTTGCCAGAAGTTATCCAACTGTGTCGCTGGGCCTAAATCCAAGACATTGTTCAGGGAACACTCTGTCCAACCACTTGCTGACAGACTGCCCCCCACATACAATGCCAGCACCGCCAACTTGACGCCATGTCGTCGATGTTTCATGCGAAACTTGTGCTGGACGGCTTCGCTAAAGAATGGATACAACGTCTAACTGCAAATTGGGCAAAGACTCTAAAAGACTCGAAACCAGAAAATTGTGGCTGGGCGCATCTTGGCATTCTAGTTAGAGCCCGATCCGAGAGAGCTGCGCCACAGAACGTCATTAGAGGCGCTGCACTTCAGCAGTTCCAAGGAACGGGCAACACATCCTACTCTGCCGTGCCACAGAGAAGAGCACATGTAAGCAGCACATGGCACCTTCTGTCCCCCGCTCCACACCAGCTTAGGCTGGAACGCCAGGTTCACGGCATGAAACTCGCCAACACGGGCAGCCTTGCAGGCTGACGTGGGAGCACAACTGCACGAACCACGCCAGGCAGCTCAAGTTCCAAAGATACCGCGCCATGGAAGTATATGAAGACATAAGCAAGCCAACATCTAACGTTCAATGACAGTATGCGACAGTCATTTGCCCGCATTATCTTGTCTGCAATCTCTGAAGATGTGGCGAATGGCTCCAAGCAATACTTGCCAGGTCCATGTTTCAGGCAGACAACGACTTGGTTGCAACTCGGGACTCGGGACACTTTCCATTCTTGCATGTAAGAGACACTCCGATCGTTTGGAAAACCGATCATCGCAACTTCCGAAGTTCTGGCCGTTACTTTCCATGACTGCCACCGTATCGCCTGTTCCTCGGCCAGCTGATCAGTCACGGCCGCGTCTGCACAAGCAAGCTTCGCCACCGCCCAGGAAAATCGCGAGACCTTGGAAGGCTCGGATCTTCTGCCGATGGCTCTAGTTTCGACAAGGCCGAATCGTGACACGGCAACCACGCTTGAGGCTGTGGGATCCCCGAACAGGCGAGGATACTCTATGTTGCTCGTCATGATATTTCTCCATGTTGGGGCCCTCAAGCTCTGTTATGAGCAAAGGCCTTCTGTGCACAGTAGCTTTGCCCATCAACGCGGGAGACCGAATCATTTGAACAATAGCTCCTACACCCATATAGACGGCGACCTTTTCAGCAGCAGCTTTCTGCGTCGATTTCAAGCATCAAATCGACAAGCGTGCAAAGAGAAGGCACGGTGTCGGAAACTGCCGTGTTGCTCACCTTTAATCAAGATGTCGAAGGTCCTTCTCCGCGCAACACTGTGCCACTGCTTTCACTTCATGGTTTGCTGCCGTCAGTATTACTTCGCGGTTGGTCGCATGGTGTCTTCAGCTGACCTCTCCAGAGTCAAGGCGTCAAGCTCGCTATCTCCTGCCCTCCGAGCCTTGTAAACGAACATACACACACCTTCAAACACACTCGCACAGAATGCAGAAATTGCAATAAAAGGCCATACACCCACACATAAGGGCGAATCATGCTACATACACCCACCACTTCGCCTTGCTGGGCCCCGAGTGCCAATGTTTTGGCAACAATCGCGCCTCAGCAAAACGCCCAACGTCTCGTGCTTCTCGAGCATCCAGGCCGCTAGTGGTGTTTCCGGGAGCGGTGCATCCTGCAGCGTCAGGTGGCATGGGAGCTTTCCAAGCCCAGATCATGATTTGCCTCGCGGCCGGATGATGTGCAGGAGCAATACACCTCCAAAAACAAAAGCAACCGGCAAGCTGTCGAACTGGTAGCAGCTTCGCTAGGGTTGCGCATTTCTTGCCTTGCGCCATTCGCCAGTCTCATCCGTCCCGAAGGTGTCAATTTGCAGCCCATGCTCAGCGGTGGTCACCTGTCTAGCACTCAAGCATACTCTAGCAGTACCTACTAGGCAGGTTTAAATCATTCTGGGCTGGGCAGTGTTGCGCTGAGCGGCAATGAGAGCATCTTTGTGAGGCATGGTGCGCACGGCCACCGTGGGTTTCCAGACCACTTCGAAGGTTCTGCGGTTGCCAGTTGGCATGAACCGGCGAACGTCCTCCAGCAATGTCTGAGCAAAAGGAAACGAGCACTGAAGCTATGCAATGCTTGTAATTACATCCGACAGTCCTGTGCAGACATGAGCAGGAGACGTTCGCCAAATTCGGCAGCCAAGGCTGCTGCCCGAGCAGTCTTGTCAACTTCCTATCATCAAGAAACAACAATCTGCCATCTGGGTGCTCACCTCTCGCTCTCTGCACTTCAGACATGAGCATCATGACAACCTTCTAGTCTGGCTTGACGGCCACTTGTTCCAGGGATGCGCATTGCAAAGCATGCCAGAGCACTGCGTGCACACTCCTCCTCTGCAGAGGCATCCACAGCTGGCGCCGCGACCGGGGCTTCTATGGAAACTGCCTGGATGCAAACCAATACATGCCCGTATTGCTCCTTAACCACGAAGCGCTTCTCGCCTTGGCTTCCACCCGGTCGCTCTTCCCGTCGGCTCGCTGAACTAAAGCTCCAAGTTGATGATGCCGAAGCATCACCCATGCCTGACCCCGTGTTCGGGATGGTACTTCGAGGGCCAGCACTCACAAGGAAGCCACGGATTCTGGTGATCTTGTCGTATCTCCTTCCATGACCGGCTAACACTAGGCGAGCAGGAGCTAGCTGCGCTAGCTTGCCAAGACTCGGCCGGCTCCTCTGCCTTTCTTTCTCCCTTGCTCCCTGCTGCGCCTTCCTAGACTGCGCTGTTCTTAGCAACGGCTGCATAAGGCAGCGTGAACAACCCTTCACTCATCTGTCTGCTTGACTCGAACCCTCATTACGATGGAAGGCAACGTTATCGTGATGCTTCCGCAAATCGTCGTGCCGCACAAATCATTATGTCAATCATGCTAACGGCTCAGTGCAGACACGTTGGTCCCTGCCTCGACCAGGCTTCCATAGCCACCTTTGAGCTTGTAGTGAAGCTTCCGCCAGGCCCCTGTGACATCTGCATCCTCACGTCAACAAACCACGTTCACCACACGAGGTCGGGCAAGTCAGCGATCGCTCGGCACTGCTCCCGTGTTGACATAAATCAAAGATGTTCCATGAACGGGACTGTCAACCGCACCCCAGAGGAAGAACTTCGATGTGCCCGCACAGCGAACCCGCACACGAACGACAGCACAATCACCGCGGAGGCACTGCATCCAATGTCGCAGAAATCAAGTCCATGCAACTGTGGTCACTGTCTATACTTCTCGGCCACGCAACGAAGAGAGTCAGCTTATCACCGGCTTCCAGTGCGCCCAGAACATGCGACTCCGTTGAAGGAATCTTTCGGATGGCCACTTTCCTCGGAGCACATACCCGAAACAGGGGCGATTACAAAAAAGGCACAGCTGCCAGAGCATATCACCTTCGGTCAAGGCTCTTGTAGGTCACGACATACGGAACTCCATCTGTTCGTGATGCGTCATTCTTCGACACGTAGACGAGAGGATTGTTCCTTCGTTCCAGTGGTGCCGCTACACTATGCGTAGCAGTCACTAGCAGGCAGATTTAAGAGAAGACTGGCCGGGCTGATCATGAGAAAGGGTTACCGCCACCCACTACACACCTCCCAATGAACACTGTCATCTGTTCCAGCGTCTCGTCCATGACAAAGCCGGCTTCATCGAGGACATCCTGCACGCACTTCAAGGCGCCGGTCGCCTGTCGGCTGCGAACAGCCCACATGTCCTTCTGACGATCCTCTATCTCATCGGCCTGTCCATGATCAACAGAAGAGAAGCAAGTCCAGATCGGAATCTGCTCAACGTCCCGGCGCTTCTCTCGCTGCTGGTACTCACCCGGCAGCCGATTTCGACACTAGGCAAGCGACGCACGAAACAAGCATGAGGCCTCCAGCTGCTTCGGAAGGTGGCCGCGCAAAGCAAGCAATTCTGCTTGCACTTCCCGGTCTTCCTGCGACACATGCACAGTTTGGAGAATGCACCCTAGGACCTGCATGTGGACAACCACACTTCATTTACTTTATCACCTAGTCATCACGGGAGGTCTTTTGCTTCACCTGGACCTTCGCGACGAACAGCTTTCCGGTTGCATGCTAGACTGTCTGAGGATTCGGTGAAGATGTCGGCAGTTTGGCATGGCAACTCCATCCGCCATCACCCCGCCCACTGACGCGTTCAGACTCCTGCGAGAGGCTTGCAGAGAAAGCCCCCGGCCGCCGACCCATGGCTACACAAGGAGCACGTCTGTGTGTGAATATGCTGGATGTGGAGGACATGTGCTGCTCCGTGCTTGCTGCGAGGTGAAACAGGACAGTATGCACAAAAAACCGAAGCACGGTATAGCACAGTTAAAGCATGTCAAAGCGTAAATTGACATCTCCTGCGCGTCTCAACATGACCATGCACCGTGCTGAAGCAGTGATGCAACAGATGTTGGAGCAGGACAGACCGTCAAACATGCTGCTGCGAACTCCAGCTCCACTCACAGAGGGTCTTTTCCACTTTGCAAGAGCTGAGGCAGCCTCAAAGACAGCAGCATGAGGATGTGCTTGACAGGGCCATTGCAGGAGCAGATAACTTAGACTCTCTAGGCTCTAGGTTCTATAGGCCCTGCAGCCATAAAGGAAGCATGAACTGCAGGCCCAATGTCTACAAAGTTGTGCCGACCTCACGTCTGTCAAACGCATCTTCCACAGTGAAACGAAGGCCAGGAGCAGCACTCTGTGACAAGAAAATGCAAAAGGGAAGCGATGTGCAAAACGTCCTACAGTCCGTTGCTTCCGCCTTTTCTGGACGGAATCCTTCACACGTGCACGGGCAGCCATCTCTCGGCTGCGCCTGACATCCTTGGTGCAGAAGCAACGGCAAGCAGCACCGCAAAAAGCCGCTACCAGTACTGTAGCCAAACAGCTGCACAGTTGTGAGCACCGAGTTTCGCAAGCTGTCCAGCCGAGATCTGCCAGCGTGGCGCTGCAAGCCTGTGGCGCAAGTCGAGGTCACCTTGAAGCACCTAGGACCTAGGACTGGCGCACCTCTTTGTGAAGCGTCAGTCGCTGTAGTTGTGGTGCAGGTATGGGTTGTTCAGCCACCTGCAGGGTTCACCACGATGTCACCCGCAACAAGCATTTTGACTCCAGAGCTAGACAAGCCAAGAGATGCACCCGCCTGAGGAACTCCTTGTAATTCACAAGGCCATCATGGTCCTCCAGATAGACGGATAGCAATTTGCTTGGGCAACAACAAAGCCTACAGTAAGTCTGAAATTGGTCCTGCCTGACGAGGCATCAGAGCACCCCCTGAAACCCCTGCAGGCCCACGCCCCGCCGGGTCGGCGAAGAGAAGCAGCTCGTCCACCTCCTGTTCGCTCAGCGGCGCCTGGCCCTGGCCAGGAGTTCGTCACTTAGGGTGTGTCGACGGCACTGCAGGTTTCCCCTCGCATCGAAAGACATGCTCAATCAGAGTCTCGGAAAAACGCGGTTCTGTTATGTGCTGTTAGAGGAAGGTGAGAACGAGAAGCGAACGGACAATACTTCTGTCAAGCACCTCTCTTGACAGCTACAGTTTTGCAGACCTGGCTCCTGTGCCACGAAGCGACAACTACCTTCTCAATATTCTTTGGTTTCTTCCCGTCCCAACGCTCCATTCTTCAAGCGTCGGCATGCGGCCTCCTTCATCAGAAGTGCCCGGAGCTCAACTGCTGGGATATAGTCGTCCTTCAGACGCTCCAATTTTTGCCATCAGCATGAAGCGTCCAGCAAGACTCAAGACTGTGCTTACTGTAGCATCTGTTCTGTGCATTCGCACGGATCACAGCGTCTGTGAATCTCGAGGCTACTTTATCACATCTGCAACATGACCAAAAAATTGCTCAGCTGTAGCGGCTTTGGCTGCTGTCTTGAACTGTCCTTGTTGTCATCTAGGGCCTGAGCAGCAAAGGCATGGATCCGATGTGGTGACAGCACTTCAACCATGCCTGGCGGCCTGGCCTCGAATGTGTGGGGGGCTGATGTCAGGCTGTCTTCGCCCAGGAGCTTTCCTTGGCGCTTGGCCGAGCAACTTCAGCTAGATCACCGGTGCAAGATATCAACGGCTTCAACCCACGCTTGCAAAATTGCCGTTGGAGTACTGCTCATGATTCCCCGCCACTCATTTTGGTCAATCCTGAGGTGGGCGCAAAACTATCAAAAGGAAAGAGGGCTCAGTCGTTCTGGCCTGCCATCATTGTTGGCGTCGATATCGTCAATCTGCCAAGAAGAGGAGAGCTTCTGCGCTCACAAATGCGTCGCCACTGTAGGCACCCTAGGCCCGGGCCATAAGCTGGACATCGTGGATGTCGCTAGAGGCATCGATCAGCGAAAATGCCTGTCGCAACGAGTCCTTGGCTCGCACGGGTCTTCCAAAACTGCAAGCTGCGGCAGCCCCAGCCCCTGCCCAAGATTTTGCCAAAATTGCCGAGGATCTATGGTAATGACTCTCACAGGCTCCCGTGTTTTCTCGTCCAGGATGGTCTCTCCCTTATCATCTAGCTGCTCCTGTCTCCAAGCGAAATTATCCAAGTCATCCGCCTCAAGCTCGCTCAGTCCTGACTGAAGGCATCGAAGGACACGCGAATGATTTCCTTCAAGACATGGCTCTGTTCGCACTTCCACCATGCGCAACTGGGCTCACAGATGCCCCTGCAATGCGGCCTCTTCCTGCGGGGTGAGCTTGTGCCGGAACAAGCGACCCCCAGCTGGGTGCCCGGTGGGACCGGCATAGTACCTGTCCCGATCGGAAGGATACAGCAGGCGATAAGCTGAACAAGGTTTCCCGGCTTTCAGAGTCTATGCCTATGCTGGGGGCACGTCATGACGGAGCCTTGCTACGGCCCGGCTACACTTGCGAGCTGAAAGCCCAAACATCGTATTCTGTCATCGGGCACGTTCAGGGTGTGAGAGAGCTGACTCGGCAAGCTTTTTCCCGTTTTGCACCGATCAAACTATCGGTGCAATTTTGCGGCCTATGCCATGGAAAAGGGAGTAAGCCATTTGCACACAGGAGAAGCCGCCGCCCACGAGGGCGAGTGTGGTTGTCACGAAATCATACCTGTTCACAAAAAATCGCACGACAGAGAGAGCAAAGACCTGCAGTTCCTATCTGTGGGTCACCAGTGGCGACGAAGTGAGATCACCACCTCAACCGGTGCCAGGTCAAAGGAGAGCTTCACCTCGGCCACCAGGAAAATGGCTAAGGCCGAGTATTCTTAGACGGGAACTGACTGTGCCTTCGGCGACTCATGGCGAGGGTAAGTCTGCATATACCACTGATGCCTGAGAACATTTTTGCTTCCTCAATTCTAATGGCTGTCGGTACCACTTCTTGAGGCTAAAGCGTGTACAGATAAAGACGTGCACGCTCGTTGCTCTCGAGGCGGGTGTGCACGATCTTGATGTAGTGATGCGCTCCTGGTGTCAGCTTCCAGTTGAAGAGCATTATCCAAGAAAACTCGGCGTATGACGTTGCAGAAGGCAAATCGGGCAGAAGAGGGTGTGAGATGAGGTCCTTGGTGAAAGTTCTTCGAGGCAAAGATTCTGCCATCGACTTGAGTTCCATGCACACCATAGCCTTCCTGATTCTGAGAAACCCACAAGCGGCTGGTTGAGCTGTGTTCGGTGGACACCATGTACGTGCATGGACAGTCCCCCACCTCTAATCTCTCAGACCGCAGGCCCCAGAATGGGAAAGGTTAAAATCAGAGAGCACCACACAAAATCAACATCAAGGTCTGAAATGCGGAAGCAAACGTGAGCAAAATGATCCAGGCAGTGGCAACCACGCCGAAGCAGTCCTGTAGTGTCAAGCCGATTAAAGTTGTGAGTGCGAGCTGTTCTGCGTGAACCACGAAGGCGGAGCCGCAAAGAATCCAAACTAATTCATCAACAGAATGAGCTTTTCCGCACAGCCAAGTCAGGCAGGAAGTGTACCAGGGCATCACAGGCTCGAAAGCTCTGGGTGGAAGTATGGGGCAGGACAGCAAGACACACAGTGGCACAGGTTCGCCGAATATTTGCCATGCAGCAGGAAGCTGTGACTTGAGCTCCTCGCGCTCTTCCACGGCATCCAGCGGCCTGCAATGCCCGGAACATGTGAGGCCGCCCGGCACGACCGATGCAACGCAAGCGCGCAAAACCCACCCGTGACAACACTCGGCTTGCTGCCCCGGCCTACCAAACGAGAGATGGTGGACGGTGTGAGACACATTGGTAAAGGCTGTGTTGAGAACGTGGTCCCCTGCACTCTTTGCATGGATGTGGATGGTGCCCGGGACACGAGGCACATCTATGTGCCCGCCTCAGCTGTCCAATGGAAGGTCGGCCCAAGGAGCCAAGGAGTCACTTTCAGAGGCCGCCGCTGACACGGCAACCCTCTTCAAACACGTCGTGCTTCGTGACGTGCGTGTGCAAGTGGCGTCCTTTGACCACATCAACCGCCATTCTGGTAAAAGCATCCTTAGATGTCAATGCAGGTGAAGCATTTCGGCTTCTTTTTTACTTTGCACCAGGAGTCGTAGCACTGCTGGGCCATCTTTGGGTCCATAATCATCATCCCCTCGAACATATCCATCGCCAAGAGGATGGGTGCTGACAAACAGAACGGGCATATCGTGGTCATACTCTATCAGGACAGCAACGGATTCGGTCGGTATCTGGCATACCCTTCCCAGTTTCGGCATGACCATCCAACCCGCTATTACCGCCTGGGAATGCGAATTTCAAGTCGCGATGTGGTGCCTTGGCCCGCTCCTAAGTTGCAGACGCTCGTCCGCCTATCGAGCGAAAGTCTCTTCCACTCCACCCAAGATTCGGTCACACTGCGAGGGTAGAGCCGCAGCAGGGGAAAGCGGGTCACACTTTCCTGCGGCCGGTGCTGAATTCAGACAACCCCAAGGAAGCGACTTTGACACATTGACATAAATGCAACAAGATATGTGACTGTATGACTGTAACCTTCCTGCTGAAGGGTCCTGCTCGCAAAGCTCCGGGAAACCTTCGGCGCCGCAGTTTACTTGCAAGGCCCACGCGTCCGCCCGTGCACCATCTGCATCTTTCATGACAAGACGTCCTCCAAAGGATGGGTGGGAATCGCCGTCTCGAAAGACAGGATCATCGCTTTCGTTCACATACTGAAGCAACCCTTCCCAGATTGGTCTATGTCTATATCTGCACTTGACAGAAGCAACACGAAGGCCCCGACCGCGTCCTTCATTTACGTCCTTCGACCACCGCACCCAAGCGGGCATCATCATCTTGCAAGGAGCAGCGCTGCGAATGCAGAACAGCACAAAGACGACGTCGTGCGCCTGCGCTGGCACAATGCGGGTTCCAGAGCTCTCGAAATTGCCAGAAACGTCGAACTAAGGCGAAAAACCATGTGCAGCAGTTGCGTAGACAACCATGCCTCCAAGGCATCGTGGAAGTCTCCACGCTCAACCTGGCCTGCTTCTGATCAGATGGTCACTTAGCAAAAGGGCGGGCAGGATGACCCTCGCAACCCCACAATAATGTTGCGCATTACCGCGGCCTGCAGACAACCAGTCGGCGTCCAGCTGCGCTTGCTCTTCTGCTGACAGCTTCGGGCGGTCTGCATACTCCTTGGTCGCACTGGTGTCAAATGGTGTCAATGAGTCGTTATCTTTCTCAGGACTGGATCCATCCGATGCCACCATCTAGCTCTTCACTTCTATAATTTTCTCGCCACATCTTGACAAGCTGCACGCCCAAAAACTCCCGAATAGCGATTGGACACCACAGTGCTGGAACATAACTCGTGCCCAGCAGCAAGTTCGGTCAATTCCTCGTCCGTGTACGCGTGGCCCTTCTCGGCTCCTGTCCACGTCATCGTCAAGTCGTAGCGGTGTGATAGTGGAGGAAACAATAATAATAGTGGGAGTAGTGGTGGTAGTAGTAGTAATAATCATAATAGTCGTAGTTGTAGTAGCAGCAGTTGTAGTAGAAGAAGCAGCAGTAGGAGTACTAGCAATGATAGAAAAGTAGTAGTAGCAGTAGTAGCAGT